TGTCTTCCTGGTGCCTCCATCTTTGGTTCTCCCACAGGCACAGGATTCCAGGGCAGCTGACACTCCTCTGATTCCCATCACCTGCAAGGCCTCTCACCACACCCAGACCTCCAGCACTTCCACACGCTGGTGGAAATGGCATCATCTTCATGGGGATTGATCTGGAACTCTACTTCATGGGTGATTTCCAGCTCTTTTCCTGACAGAACTCTGAGGCAGGTTATTCACTTGCTGATGGGGACAAAGATGGCTGCCCTCCACACTCAGTAAGGAGCTGAGTGCTCAGATCTCAATACATGGCAGCTAGTGACTCCATGACCATCTATCCAGATGGATGAACTCTGCAAGGCAAGTCCGGGTGAGGCATTCAGGGAACCCAAGTCCCAGGGGTGCTGTGCCAAGGATAAGGCCACCATCCTAGGAGTGGGGTTGATTGGACAGAGGGAGTCCTGTTATTTGGAGGCAGCTGTTTTGACCTCAAATTAAGTGCCCAGCAGCTTGGTCATGAATGAAGGAAACTGAACTCTTCTCCTCTGGAAAGGGGATCTTGTGGCCAATGGGTGTCACCTTGGAGTGTGTGCTCTTGAACACACCTGTCTTTAATGCATTTGCTGCACTAGTATGGGGAAGGGAGGGTGTGACTTTGTGTATGTAGTCTAGCTGTTCCCATTGTTGACATCTTTTCTAGAGTGAATACCTCTTCATCGTCCCTGTTCCAGTAGGACCATCCCCAGTCATGGTAGGACCTTTAAAAGCAATTTCTTCATTCTGACTCTGACAGAAGCCCTTGTACCTCATCATTCCTCACACTGGAGGTGAAGTCCTGTCTGTCCTTTCATGTTGTGGTGAGAAGTCTACATGAGATCTACTCTTGGCACAAGCCAAATACACATGACTCTTGATAGCCCTAGGTGCAGTGATGGACAACTGACCTATGGAACCTAACCACCTGCATCACAGTATGCTTCTTCCCTGAAAAGGCAGCTCCCCATGGTCCCCCACCAGCTCCAGGCAACCACCAAGCTGCCTTTTTCTGGTGCTTCTTCACTGCATGAATTTCTAATGTGTGAGGAACCATTTGGTATTTTCTCAACTGTGGTCACTTCACTCAGCATGATGTCCTCAAGTTAGATCTATGTAGTTGCTCACAGCATGATATCCTTTTAATTACTGTAATGATACTGAAAAATTAAAAAAAAAGTGAGGAGCAACCAGTGTTCATCTGAGAACACAAATAAATGCCCATTGAGGTGTGTGGATAAGGAAGAATCCTTAATTCTGCTCTGACTGGGTTGAAGGCAAGGGGTGTCTGTGAGAAATGGAGAGATGCAGGTACAGGACTAGTGGGGAGGAACTTCTATCGTAGCAGACAAGCTGAGTTTGTCTTTACCTGCACATGGTGATGAAAATTCAGAAGTTTGTCTGTAATTTTCAGTCCTATAGTCAGGATGCTTTTTCCATGGTTTCTGTGCAAACAGTTGTGTGAAGTGCAGTGTTGGGGGCCCAGCAAGCTGGTGACTGTGCTGAGTCCACACCATGTACAGGTTGGACAAGGAAGACATGCCAAGATATTTGTCTGGAATGGCTGCTCCCACTCTTTTTTAACAAGGAGCAACCTGAGGACATCAGAGGCCTCCAAATAACCCCCCTCAAGAACTTCAGGGCTCAGGGGTGTTGGCTGTGTCAGTGAATGTGGCAGGTCCATGGAAGGGCTTCCTGGTGGCTACACAGAGCCCTGGATATGAGGTTACCTACAGAGTCCCAGGGGTTTAGTAAGGTCAGTTTCCTGTGTCCAGAGAATTGAAGCACAGAGTATCCCTGAAGGACTTTCTGGAAGTCAGGGCCCAACATTCAATTCTGGACTAGAGATGCTGAGATGTTCATGCTGTTTGAGCCATGACAGGAACCTCCCCAGCATGATGCACAGCTGGCATCCAGGAGTGGGTGGGACTCATAAGCTCAGAGCCCCTGCCCCAGGAGCAGTTGCATGGGGAGCTGGGAAGGAATTTCCTGTGAGGACCTGTGTCTTTTTCTTTTCATTAAAACCTCTAAAATAAGGTTTGTGCATGTGGTGACTATACATATCCTGTTGTATCAGGGTATTCACCGAACTCCATAATACATGAGAACCAGAGGCAATGGTATTTCTTGGGCATCTTTATATTTGAATTCTAAAGTACTGGGAACAGGGATGGTTTCATTAACTAACTGGGTGGAGAATTTTGGATATACACTGATCTAGCATTAAGACATTCAGACATTGCAGCCAATAATTGGTCCAGGAGGTCTCCATGTCTCTAAAAGTTGAGTGCACAATGACAAGCACGTACTGTGGGAACTTGTTCGTCAGTGGGAGGAGATATATCAGCACAGATCTCAGAGATCTGCCAGGGGGCCCATATCCTACAACTCTGTGTAGGACTTGGACCCTCAGATTCCCTTGGATCATTGTCCCTGTGTCCTCTACCTTCTCTCAGGTGGAGTCAAGTATTCAGCTATGAAACACTCTGCCCTATGCACATGCAAATGAGAAGAGGTTAAATGTGGGTCTTTCTGTGCCCCGAGCATCACTCACAAACACTGTTCCCTACAGCAGTTCTGATAGCACAGCCCTTCACCATAGACTGGAGCTGGAGAGGCCTCTTCCTGGTGGCAGTGACTACAGATAAGGAGCTCTCTAGTCCATGGGTTCAGGGAGGCCAGGGACATTGAAAGAGCATTTCCAGCCACTGCCTGTGTCCTCTCAATAGTTGTCTACTCCCAGGTGCAGCTGGTGCTGTTGGGGGCTGAGGTGAGGAGACCTGAAGCCTCAGTGAATATCTTCTGGAAGGATTTTGGATATACCTTCATCAGACACTGGCTGCACTGGATGTGAAAGGCCCCTAGGACAAGGGCTTGAATGGATGGGGAGAATTACCCTGATGATAGTAAACGGAAGTACACACAGGAGTGCCAGGGCAGAGTCCCCATGAGTGTAGGCATTTCCATGAACACAGCCCACATGGGGCTGAGCAGTCTCAAAGCCAAGGACTTGGGCATGTATACTGTGTGAGGGACACAGTGTGATGACCCACATGCTGAGTATGTCAGAGACCATGATGGGTGGGGCAGTTTGGCTGAGCAGAGGACGTGACAGAGTAATGGGCCTCCTGACTTCCTCACACACAGTCAGGATCTGAGAGACCAGGACTGATGCTGCCACAGGCACATCAGAAATTCTGGGAAGGTTCCAGTAGACCAGATACACAGCAGGGAAGAGGCAGAGAAGATGCTACAGAAAGGGCTCTGTTGTTGGTTGTGATTGTGCAGGGGGCACATTTGGAGCCTCCTTCTCCTCTGAATGAAGTGTTTCTTTGAGGTGCCATCTGGGGATACTTAGTCAGGGTTACTGTGCATTCACTTATTTGTGAAAACTGGAATTGTGCTTGGGGAAAAATAAGTACATGAAAGTAAATGAGGCTTTCTCTGTTCTTGTCTCTGGGCCAGCACCACACAGATGACATTCTGGCAACAAAATCCAGGTTCCAGCACAGTCTGTGACATCACAGCCTTCTTTCAGCCCTCCCTCAGGGGGAGATCCTGTGGATTCTGCTCCCCTGAGATCAAAGTTCTGTGAGTGTCCCTGTCTCTGGGCTAATACTGATGTCATCTCAAAGCAGAGAACAACGTGGGGACACCCCTGACAATGGAAGACCCACATTCAGCCTGTACTATGTCCCTATGTCAACTGAAACAATTATCACAGGCCTGGCACCACAATCTACACACATTTTTCTTGTATATTCTGGAGGTCAGAGTAAAAGTGTCAGTTCAAACAAGCTTCACTCAACATCCATGCAATTCACCCCCACGCATGGAGTTGCTTTTTCCATTTTGCACATCTATACTATGAGTACATCAGGTTCAAGTTGAGAAGACACTCATTATGTGTGGCCATGGTGAAAAACTCCCATGGGTCACATGCTGACATGAATAGAGTCTGTGACAATGGAGATGGTTCTTATGAAATTAATGATCAAATAATCAGGGGGCTCCATTATACTCCCTCTCCTGCTCCCTGATAACAGCTACATTGAAGATCCATGTAAACACAGATCTTAATAGACAGCATCAGGCTGAATCCCCAATGATGAACAGTTGAACATAACATCAGATCCACCAACTCCAATAATGGGAGGTTATTTGAAAGATTTATTCATCCTGTAATCAATGGATAAAGAAAATAATGTTCTTCATATAAATTATGATTTTATTTATACCTGTTATTTTCTGTTAGTAGTTTGCACCAAGGTTTTCCATAATCTAATTTATAAAATTTCAACATACTTACTCCCCAATTTCTACATAAATCTTCAGTGAAGCACATCTAGTCATGACTGAGTTTCTTCTGTGTCCCAAATGTGTGAACCTGGTTTTACCACAGAATGTGGAAAATGGAAAACGAGGAAGCAAAGATGCTGCATATTCAGCACCAAACTCCACTGAAGAAACATGTCCCAGGATCTCTGCCCACTTCTCTGGAGAGTTCACACTTCTGTCTCCCAAAGAACAACACAGATGCTCCACCTCCCACAACACTGGGTCCACGTGCTCTAGGGTCACACTGTGTTCTGAGCTCATACTCTGATTCCTTTGTGGAAGAAATAGGTCAGAAGGAACTTCCTGTGACATGAACAGGAACCTCCTGCACTTTTAATGCCCCCTGTTGTCATGAGTATTGAATTGCCTTGGTGTGTCCATTACTCAAGATTTTCAAAGGCATGTATCATTTTAAATATCTCTGGTTTATGAAAATTTACTCTCTTAGGTCAGTTATGCATCTCATGGAGTAGTTGGGTCAGTGGAGATGGCACAGGCTCAAAAGTGGGGAGTAATTCTTATCAAATATGCACCCTTAGACATGTCACACTCTGTGACCATGTCCTTCATGTCACCACCCAGCCCCAGGGCTCCCTATATAGTAGGAGGACATGCAAATAGGGTCCCTCTGCTCATGAAAAGCAGCCCAGCCCTGACCCTGCAGCTCTGGGAAAGGAGCCCAGCCCAGGATTAACACGTGTCCCCAGTCCCTGCTCAGGACAGAACACAGACCACTCACCATGGAGTTTTGTCTCAGCTGGGTTTTCCTTGTTACTGTTTTAACAGGTAATCTCTAGAGAATGGGAGACACTGAGTGTGTGAGTGGATACGTATGAGAGATAAAGTGGATGGGTGAGCTTTTCCTGACCTGACATCTTTGTGTTTGCAGGTGTCCAGTGTGATGTGCAGCTGGTGGAGTCTGGGGGAGGCTTGGTGAAGCCTGGGGGGTCTCTGAGACTCTCCTGTGCAGCCTCTGGATTCACCTTCAGTAGCTACTACATGAACTGGGTCCGCCAGGCTCCAGGGAAGGGGCTGGAGTGGGTCTCACAGATTAGTAGTAATGGTGGTAGCACATACTACGCCAACTCTGTGAAGGGCCGATTCACCATCTCCAGAGACAACGCCAAGAACGAGCTCTACCTGCAAATGAACAGCCTGAGAGCCGAAGACACGGCCGTCTATTACTGTGCGAGAGACACAGTGAGGGGAAGTCAGTGTGAGCCCAGACACAAACCTCCCAGAGGGAGACAAGAAGGCTGCCCTGCAGGGGCTGCTCCCGACACCAGGGGGCGATCAGGACACACTCATTTCTTGGTTCAGTTCCAGAACCTAGGCAGATACACAGTAACTCTTGGTTTCCTGGCAGCTGTGGTTTAACTCTCCACAGAGCAGTTTCCTTCTGGGAGTGCCCCTTCCTTCATGATTCTGTGCTTACCTCTTAACTGAGTGAATTATAGAGGCTTGCTGTAATAAGAGTAAAACATTTCACACACACAGAAGGCAGAATGTCACATTTACTTACTTTCATCCTAATGAATCATAGTCGAATCATCAAGTCTTCATGACCCACATCAGTTACATCCAACCAGAGGTTCTGCTGGACCCAGCACTGCAGCCCAGCCCCACACACCTCAGAGTCCAAGCAGGCCAGGAGCAGGACATGTGCTTGCTGGACCGTGGGCACCAGAGGCATATGGACCCAATGCCAGAGGACAAGGGCCCCAGTGCTGATGGTCATTGACCTGACTCCATGTTCATGACGACCAATAGCAGCTGACTTCATGCAGATGCAGAGGGACCCCACCACACCTTAGTACAGATGTCCAGGCTGATGAAGTCACACACAAAGAGGGACAATGGAATAGTTTGTCACTTCATTGTAGAGTCTCTTGAGACTTTTCAGTAAGTCAGGAATGGCTGGTCCATGCCACATAAAGAACCTGGTTCTGACTCTTAGTGTCCACCCATGAGAAGGTCCAAGAGGGCCCTGCTCAGCAGGATGGGTTTGTGTGGTTTCAATCTCTCACCCACATCAAACTAGAGGAAGCCACCACTTTATGAATTTCCCACCTGTGCACAAGAGGAGAGAGAGGGATGAACGTTAATTTGTCAGCATTGAACATCAAAAACTAAACCCTTACTTCTTATTCCATAGAACTAATGGGAATCATGCCTGGGAACATGAAGGAAAGACCATTATGTCTAGAAAACTAATTTAGTCCTTAGAAAATGAGAATAATGGTTATTTGTAAAGAATAAGGGGAAATAATAATAAATTATACATACATCTTAGTTCCAAGTCTAGGGTGGAACCTGTCCATTCTACACACTCGTCAGCTTGTTCTGAAGGACTTGCAACCCCTTTCTGCTCCCAACTATGAGGAGTGTCCACAGGATTAAGGGGATCCTCAGATTGGGGAGGTCTGCTGGAGTAGCCTTCCAACTGGATGGAAACATGATTTGATTCCTTTTGTGTTCCTATGGGTGACTGTTTGTGTCACTCAAAAACTCACACACTAAAATGTGAGACTCATGTTATGATGTTAGGGTGTGTGGCCTTAGGAGAAGTGACGGTCCTGGGGTGGAGCTCCCCTGGACAGGATTAGGGCCTTTGTAACAGAGACTGAGGAAGCTGCCTTGCCCCATCCACCCTCTGAGATTACAGGGAACAGGCATTAGGGAGGGGTTTTACCTGTTGATCAAAACTGCCGGCACCTATTGTTGGATTTTTCACATCCAGACCTGTGAGAAATAGATTTCTGTTGCTGGCAATGACCCAGTCCACAGGCCTTTGTTACAGCAACCAGAATGGTTTAGGATTGTACTGTAACATGACCACATGGGTTGCCACCCTTGGGTTTTGCTGCTCTTTTTGTTGTAAAAAGTGCAGCATCAGTGTCCTTCCAGTGATGTTCAAGGACAGTTTTCCTCTGGTCTTTTCTTCCACAGAAACAATGTCCTCATTGAAAGTTATAGGAGACTCCTAAACAGATGTAGCAGGAAGGCAGCATTAGAAGTGGGCACAATCCATGAACCATTTCAGTATTTACCACATCAGCACAGAGCCAGGTTCAGGATTCACTGCAAGTAAGATCCCTAAAGTCATGGCCCTCCCAGTCACCACATCACAAGGACATGGCTGATGTGTGCTTGAAGGCATGCACATGAACACCACTCAGGAGGAGCATTGGCCAGAGGCATTTGAGAAGTCACTTAGGTTTGATCATTTTAACTCAACAAGTCTTTTCTTTTTCCCCAAACACTCCAGTGATTGTGTATAATAATGACAGTGTGAGATGTGGATCAGAGGAACCCCTTACTGATTAATGGTTCTTGTGTGGTATGCACTCCAGTCACTTGAGGTGACGGTTGGTGAGCCATTGGGGGCAAAGGGGGAACAGGCTGTGCACAGAGGATGCCCAGGGCAGTTAGAATGCTCTACATATGTTTATTCCTACTTCCCAGTCTCATTCTCGATGCTGATGGACTTTCAGTGCACAGGCATACAATGAACAGTCATTCTGTCTTGATAGAACAAAAGTGCCCAGTGTCCTCAGCCCTGGGAGGCTGATGATGGGGATTAATCTCACCCTGTGTGTTGACACATGGACAAGGTCACACAGGGAATTTTTTCTGAGCTGAATAGCATGAACCACTGTGTATGATGAATATCATTGTAAATTAAATTGTGTTAAACTGATTGATGATTTAAATGACCTACAGCAACAACAACTCTGCAGCCTGCATACCAAGTAGTCTCTTATTGAATTTCCACTATCACAACAAGGGTGCTTGTGCCTCTGAGTGGAGTGGGGTTTCTAACCCACAGAATTTACTTCTCTGTCCCTGGGAAGGAGCTCATGTAAATGGGTTGTTCCATGTGCTGACAAACCAAGCCCCACCACTGACCCAGCACCTTAGGGAGAGAAGCCCAGCCCCTGACCCTTTGCAGTTTGCACTCATTACATCAGTTAACCCAGAGGAGGCTCCATGAAGTTTGGGCTGAGCTGGGCACTTGCTCTGATGATTGTACATGGTAACAATATGAAGAAAGTGGGGCTTGAGTGTTTCTGTGTCTGCTGATACTGAGAGTCCTTTGTATGGAGGTGTCCATTGTGAGGTACAGGTGATGGAGTCTGAGGGGACCTGAGACAGCCTGCAGGTCTCTGAGGCTCTCCTGCAAAGGCTCTGGATTCACTTCCAGTGACTACCATATAACCTGGATCAGCCAGCCCGCAGGAAAGAGACTGGAGTGGATAGGTGTTATTAGAAACAGAGGTAACAGTCACACAGCAGAATACACTATGTCTGTGAAAGGCAGTTTCATCTCAAGAGATGATTCCAAATGCAATATCTGAAAATAAACACCTAGAGAACTGAGGACACACCATGTATCACTGTGTGAGACACACAGTGATGGCAACTCAGTGTGAGCCTTGAAGGAAGGGCTGCAACCATGGGTGGGCACTGAGTGAAGGACACTGGGTGTCCCTGAATGTGAGAAACACCAGGAGCAGTTGCAGGTGGATGTTTGGGCTTGTTTTCTGGGCTGTTTTCTCCTCCTGTCACAGTTTCCCTCAGGCAACTTCTCTGGTTTCCTGATTTTGTGCTCACCTCTGAATTCTCTGAGTTAGAAATATTTATTGTAATTACAGACAGACAACATTCCCTTGCAAACAAGAGGCAGAGTCATTTTCAAACACTCTTATGCCCAATTCCAATGAACAATCAAACTTTCCGATCCTTGTAATTGAATGTAACCAGAGGCTGTGTTGCACCCAACCATGTAGCCCAGCCCCACACTGCTCAGCTTCCAAGCTGGCCAGCTGCAGGACACAAGCCTGCTGGGTAGGAAACCTAACACCGGGGGGGGGATGCCTAGTGGTGATGGTATTGACTTGACATCATGGGGAAAACACCACGTGTAGGTTACATCACACAGAAGCAGGGGACCCACAGTTCTGTATGGATGTCCAGGCTGATGACAAAATCCCACCAAAAGTTGCATGGGATGTTTATCACACACATAGTTGAAATCTCTGGGAAGAACAGGAAGAGTACTTCACCAAGGTAAACATGCTTTGATGGAGCCAGGAAAAGAGACTTGATGGGGGTTTGTATTTTGTCATGGTCTGTAGGAGGGGAGTCTGCTTTTGGGGATTGTGCAGATTCAGTCTCCCAGTGGTATCTAAAAAGGAGACCCAGACTCTTATCAGATTTCCTGTGGGGGTGGATGAAGAAGAGGCAGAAATGAGACTTCATTTGACAGCAGTGAAATAGAACATAGTAAAAATGGTGACTACCTATTTCACTTAAAAAAACATAAAAAAGAGCAAAACATGAGATAAATATCATAATGTGTGAATAACAAACTTGTGTACAGAAAAGGATAGGAATGCCAATTACAAGAAAGCAATTGATGTTGATAATGATGGTGATGATGAAGATGAAATGGTGATGGTGATGATTATGATGTTAACTTTATGAAGTCAGTGCTGGTGATGAAGATGATGGTTATGGTGATAATGAGGATGAGGATGAGGATGAACTTGGACTGAGTCAATTGTCTTGGTTCAATGAAACAATGTTTATCTGGATACACCACCACCGTGGTCCTCCACTTAGGGGTGTCCTCTCTTCCCTGTCAGTGTTGAGATAGTTTGTAAATGCAGTCCAGCGAATTATTCAGCTTGGGTGAGTCATGTTGTGGCCAGAAGAGTAACAACCTAAAAGTTTTCTAATTTGTAATCACTTGGGCCAATGACATCATTACCAACTGTGACAGAAACACTGTGAAAATGTGAACAGGAAACAAGGAATCCACTTTCCACTTTTTTCCAATGACATGCTCCTTATTTCTCTCGATCTCTACCTGCAGAATCTGTAACATTTCTATCTCTAACAAATTTCTGTTTTCTAAGATAATATAAACTATCTGTATCATGTCCTGTGCTTCCTTGTGGATCCTCTCTTAAAAAGTCTTTAAAAACATATGAACAGTAACCTGTGTTCATGAAAACAAATCATGGTACTGCATGTGACTCTATGTCCAGCATCTTCCCCTTACCCATTTGCAAAGTGTCTGCTCCAGTCCCTATGTCTGCTGTAACCAATAAACATAGATAATGGAGGCTGATATTTTTCTGGGGAGATCTTTCGGGGAAAAAAAAACTGAAAAAAGATCCATAAAAATACTGATACATTAGACTTTGTTAAAATTTAAGAATCTCCCCCCACAAAGATCCATTAAGCCAATAAACAGGCAGATGAGAGTTTGCAGACTATGTTTCCAAATGTCCTGTCTGATGGAAGAAAGTGTTTATTCTACATTAAATACATTATATGTTTTGTGGAAGATCCCAAAACTCTCTGACCAT